ATATAGCTCGCTGTAGTCACGTCCATACAAACTGCTTATGGGTGATGAACCTTTGTGCAGTCTGTATGTGACAGACCTGGCTTCGCCTTGAATGAATATATGTAGTGGTGTTAGGTTTAGCATGACTTCTATAGCTGCTGTTGGAGTCGTTCTCATAGCTCCCGTGGTACTCAGGCATGCTTGCCTTTGAATACTATTGAGCTGTCGAATGGCTCCAGCTTGCCGAGTCTTTGGCCACCATACCACCGACCCGTAGGTTATCACCGTTTAGTTGTTTTTGTAAAGAACCACTTAGAATATTAGTAAACCATAGCAATAAACTTAATTTGTTGACCATACAGTAAAATCCTTTTTTCCAACTTTCTTACCTTGAACTTTCGAAGTTACCTATACTTCAAATACATTAAGTAAAATAGTTTTTGTTTTCAAATTATCTGAAAAAAATCTTAATATTCTTCCATTCGTACTTTAGACAATGGCCTACTTATAAATTACAAATTAAGCAAACGATCTGCACTACAATTACATACATTCTTATAGTGTCGCAAGATGGTCAATGTCACGAATATTTTCACTGCATACTTGAACGTACATTATATATAATGTAGCGCAAGATGTTATTTTAAGATTCACATACTGCGTGAGTACGTTGAAAGTGTAAACTTGTAATAAAACACGCTCTTTATGAAATGGAATATTAACTTTAAAATTATTGGTAAATTAGAGACGCGCACGAAGTATCGATGTTTTAAAAACATCGATGTTTTTAATTAACATCGATGTTTTTAATTAACATCGATGATTTCTTTTTCGTTGTTTGTTAAATTTTACATTTCAATTAATGGTCCGAATACCTTTTTTTGCTCTTCAGTGAATGTTTTTGAAGAACATCGTTGTTTAGAAAAATCGATATTATCTTTTCCGATTTTTTTATAATATCGATAGTCTGTATTCGATATATCATTTGATGTCGACATCGATGTTTTAAAAAGTTTGCGCATCTCTATGGTAAATGCTATACATTCTGGAACGCTCTCGGGGAATGTTCTTGAGAAAAACCCTCTCTTTAAATCCAATTTGGTATCATTACTCAGTGAATTAGAAGTTTTTTTTTTGTCTCCCGGTCATGTTTTTTTTTTGTTAGTGTCGTCGAAAAAGGCCATTGAAATTGTTTCTGCTTGCTTTTTTATTATCAAGAACTATACTCTGTTATTAATTGTTTAGAGTGTTGTAGCGAATTTGAAAATCACAGAATTTTTAAATATATAATGAAGAGACCTTTCAAATGAGGTATCACAAGCCCTTACTTCCTATTTACAAATATATGCTTACATAGAATTCGGCTAACTAAACAATTTAAATAATTCGTAGGCAAATAATAGAACTATATAGAAAAGTTCTTTAATTAACTTATTTACGATTTTCTTAGTTGTTTGTTTACTAGTAATATTATCTTAATTTTTAAATCCGACATAACGGATTATTTTTCTCACCGTAAATCAGTACATTACCAAGAGAAGGGTACAGGAAAAAAAAAAGATGAATGTCACAAAAATGAATTTCTGAGAAATTTTAAGACTACTACATACAATACTTGTCTGAAAATATATTTGGCTCAAATATTTTTTCTCAATACCTGATAGTAAAGATTACTTTGTTACCAATTATTGAGTGCACAGGTTTATTTTTGTAGCTGGAAAAAATATTTGGAGTCATACGACATAGGTTCGAGTGGGGAAATTTATCATAAAATATGTGATATTAATTGCATTATTTATTGAAACGAAAGAGCATACAACTTTAATTTTGGTTATATAAAAGTAGTACCAACGAAAATAGTCAACAAATTCTCATACAAAAAATATACATGGCGTTTTAGATGTAGTAGTACAAAAAAATCAACAAAAAATTCTAAAGATTAGTAAAAACTTAGGACAAGCTCTTATTAAACAAATAATCTAAATAAGTACCTTTTTATTAAAACTAAGGCCAATAATGGTAAATTTGGGTAGAACATATTAAAATGTTAGGTAATATTATCATACAATAAAAAAACAGCTAATGTCAAAAAATTAACTTGAGTACTGTAATTATAAACTAATAGTGAAAGTTCTTAATAAACAAATAATTTAAAATACGTCCTTTTTATTAAAACTAAGGCACATAATGTTATAATATAATAAAACATACAGCGAACGTCAAAAAGTTAACTTGAGTATTGTAAATTATAACCTTTAACATAAATTAAGCGTCTTCATCTTCGGTAGTGTTGTTATAAGGTAAGTTTTCAAAGTATTTACATGCATTGGGCTAACAAAATCTTTTAAGTTCTTGTAGATCTTGAAACTTTTTCAAAGATATAGGGAGTTTCTCGTTGTATTTTAAAGAAGGTACTTTAAATTGGCCAGGAGGCAACAAATCAATATTTTTTGACTTTCTTCTAGGCGGTATCAATACAGAAGTCGTGCAAGCTCCGTTATATGATTCACGATATTCTATCGTTCTCGGCATACCAGTATGTACTGTAAGTTCCTCGATTGGTCTGCTTTCAAATGGACACTTTTATAGAAGTAATTTGCAAAGTGATTCGTCCATGAACGAAAAATATTTTGATATTCACAGTCAATTGCACAAAAAGGACCAGGTTTACTTCTAGCACTCAGAATTTGCGCATTCCATCCACCCGGAAGTTCTACTGCTGCCTTTTGGTTTGTTAGACCCATGTTGCGGTCGCATTCTAGATAGCTGTGTCCCCGAACTGGAAACGTCATCTTGATTTTCCTTAAGCATTTTGTCTTATGGACAACTAAATGCAGTAAACGAAATAAGGTATAATTCTTATTTTGGCCGCTACACGAATCGCAGAAAATTTTTAACTCTTAGACACGCTCATCCAAGAAATTGAAAATAAAATGAAATAGCATAGATCCTACTTCATCTGATCCCTTCTTTCCAGCAGTTTCCGTGTAAGTATAAAAATATGAAGCAGAGTTAGACAGCACATGGATATTAAAGGAATAAAAAGAAAGTTGGCGTTTATAATATACATCATTAGTGCTTATATTGGACACTGGCAAATTTTTGTGAAAATCCTTTGCTATTGCCTCTTTTTCTGTACTTTTTTGAGAATTTAAATGGACTGCTCTCTTTCTTTTGTAAAATGTTTCAGCTTTTAAAAGATGCAGTTTATGTTCTGTTTCCAAACGAGATAAAAACGCTTTTTATGAAGGATCGTTTTCGATGCTCATTTGCTTGACCTCCGTTCGTGGATAGCCAAAACTTATGTTGAATTTAGTTACAAATATAGTTCTATAAGTCTAGTAGGAAACCTTTTTCTCAAGATTTTGTTGCAAATACATGTTGAACATCTTTTTCACGTTAAGATCTTCCGGTAAATATACAAGTTGGGAGTCATGGAGACTGTGATTTTCGGCCTTTAAACGAAGCAATATGGTCAAAAACGGCAGTGGATATTTCATCTGGGAGACGATTTTTTCGATTGGAATGTTGACCTCGCCCATCGTGTTTAACTTGTCCAAAAGTGGTTAACTGCTGCTGGATATTCTGAAGCCGTTTCGCAGATATTCCATGCTTAGAAAGCATAGCTTTATAACATATTGGCACTTCTATAGCTGTATTATCTCGTTGAACACGAATTTTGTATGTGTACGAATATGAGTGATATTCAACATCTTCATCATTATTCTTTCTACTTCGGTGTCGTTTAACGGGGGCATGTGAAATTAAGCCACCCAGATACAAATTTTGTTCATCATGATCTTCAAGTTCATTAAACTGTTTAATTATTTGCAACCTCTCTCCTTCGGTGACATTTTCAAAACACTTAACTCTAGTACAATTACAACTTGGGCCTGACTCATGGCTTCGTAGTTTTAATAACTTAGCAACGTTCTTCATACGTCCATGAGATTTTCGTTTCTTCGACCTTAGAGGAAAAACTGCACTATCAACTTTAATAATGTCTTCGTCACTCATTGCGAAATATTTCGATTGCACGTGGCACGAGAAAAAAAAACAGCATACAGCAGGTGGTCGATTAAACGGCACATGAACTACTGAAATAGTAAAATAGCGCGTAATAAAATGGGAAAAAGCATCGAGAGAAAAACAAAACAATGCGCGATTGCCATATTTATGGACATTCATCTTTTTTCCCCAGTTCGCCGGGGCGTTCATCTTTTTCCCCTGTGCGGTAAAATTTAGATTCGCTGTGGCTTGCTACTCTCATCTATTTTTATTGGTTTCAATATTTTATCGGATTCTTACAGCATTTTAGCATAATATTCCCGCCATTAGCTTAAAATTGGAATATTTGGATATTCATCTTTTTTCCCTGTACCCTTTAAGTATAAAGTAGGTTTTCATTTCTAGAATTTAAATGCAAAATATGTCCTTGAATGTTTTTTTAAATATATTCAGAAAATTATTCCTTTTCACCCTGTTTACAATAATTATTATTATTATTGTAATTTAGATTCGTTTATAAAAAATATTTATTAAATGCTTTATGATAATTATTCTTCTGTAGTTATATTCCAAGGCAACTTGCTTGGATTCTAGTTATAGTAGATTTTCTTTTCAAAAAGTTCACTTTTTACGATGTGGCTGGGCCTTTGCCCTTGCTCTTTGAGGCTTAATTTATGTAGGGGCATTCCGTTTCACTTCTTTGCTGGCTTTTATCACTACATCAAGGTTACATTTCTAGATGAGGAAAACAGGAACAATACCATGTTCATTTCCAAATTAACGTGCACCTATAGATACATGGTTACGTTTAATAATTTAAAAATCTTCAGATATGTACGATAAACGGTTTCTTAGATATGGTCGGCGTCTTATTTGGACATCCGGCACATAACACTATCTAGCGCCTTTATAAAGACAAGTGTTGACAGAATGATTAAACCTATTTTCCTCATTAATTCAGTCAAATGTGTATGACGGATCTTTATATTTAATTTTTGTTTTTTTGTTTTCAGATTTGTCGAAAAACCGATTTTGCGAGTTGCCCGATGAAGTGTTGGGTTTCCATTTTTTGGAAAAGCTTCACTGTTACCACAACGCCATACGTTTCGTACCCGAAACGGTATGCAGCCTTCAATGCCTCAATTTCATAGATCTCAGTAGGAATCAGCTGACGAGTCTTCCCAGGGAATTATGTCAGTTGCCAATACAGGTAAGTCTAGAAAAATCAAAAAGAATAGAATTTTAAAATTCGGCTCGATTTTTTAATTTCAAAATTATAAATGATTTACATACACTACTTATTGTAAATAAGAAAGCTTGAACTTTTGGCTTTTATTAGAAAATATTTATTACGTATTAAAAATGTATTTTTTAAATTAAATTTAGTAAGATTTACATTCTATATATGTTGACTCTTCGGAAGCACTTAGGTTAACCATTAATTATATGATTACAAATCTCAAAGGATGTGGCTTTAATTATCAGAGTCTTATTGAATGAAAACTACTTAAATAATCTTCGCAACTCTTTAAATACATACATATATTGTATATGGAAAGAACTAGATGTTTCATCTGAAATATCCCAGAGTTCCTATCTGGGACCTTTTTATTTAATATTGTATATTATTGATAATAAATAAACTGTTACCTTTTTTATCGATAAATCCTCTTGATTATACGTTACGAACATCCCAAAAAGTTGTTTTTCATTCTACTTTAAATACAACGGTTGAAATGTATCAAAACATTGAAAGTATGTATCGTTTGGCAAGCAATTTTTATCCAACAAGTGGCTACTAAAAATTATACCTATTAAATTCCAATTAGATGAGAACTAGCTATAATGGTTTCATCATTTCGAGGAACAGACTTATTTTCTCGAATCTGATTTCCTTTTGAATTTGAATCTTAAATACCACTTAAGATGATGTCATTTCCCATATGTGTTTATTGGATTTACTCTGGTTTCTATAAATATATCACTAGTTTGCAGCCAAATGGCGCCAAAAAACGTAATATGTGAGTATGATACCGATTGATACTCGCATTCGATTTGATAGTGTTGAAATGTATATTGAAATGATTTGAGAAAAAAAGTTCATTAATGAGTTTATAGTGTGGTATGACACTACGAAATTATGAACACAATATGATTTATTTTTATAACTCCGTTTGACAATGTGATATTATATTGGAATATAGTCAATATTATAATACAGGGTGAATCCTGAGTTGATACTTTTTTAATTGTAAATAGAAGTCGTTAAAATAAACATCTTTTTCAAATAACTTAAAGAAAAAAACTTAAAAATAAGAAACTTACATTAATTCATTCCAAAATGTATCCAACAACTAAGTATTTGATAAACATTTTTTCTACAGCCACATGGATATTAGTTTATTTACGCACAGGCAACAAACAAAACGAAAAAGTATGCTATTGCGTTCAACTAAACGAATATATTTCATATCTATTTTAGGTAGTGAGAACCCTGCAAAAAATAAAATCCACCAATCTCATTTCATATTTTGATCACCCAACTACTATTATTTATTAAATTTTAAATAAGTGACAATTCTGTCAAACTAATTGTCAGTATATTTTTTAGTTATTGAAATTAAATATAAAAATGAATTATTCTTGTGTAGAATCAATAAATAATAGCATTTCTATTTTTATTTGGTCTGTAATTATTATAAATAATTTGTTAATTTTAGTTTTTAAATACGAGTATTAAAGCAAAACATTTTAAGAGCATCGATGGTGGTAGAGGCCAGAGCACATGCCTTTAATGCGAATAGCCCGGATTCAAATCTAGGATGGGGACAAAATATTTTTTTTTGTTACTTTATTTTATAAATTAGTTATTTTATCTTAATAACCTAAAATAATTTTTATTATTTTTAGATTTTCTCCATTGGTTCGTACAAAATATATACTACACAACTCGAGTGGATTGTCCATATCCACTCTTGTTGCACAAACTAGTATTCTATTAAAAGAAGCTTTATATTTAAAAATCGTGAATATGTCTGCAGTATTTGATGTCCTCTGGCAATTTATTGAAAACTCTAGGTCCTCTGTAATCAGGAGAGTAATAAGTTAATTTTTTTGATGTAACTTTCAAATGAATTACATTTTCCGAGTATCGTATTATATCTATGAAAATCTCCGTTTAATAAAAAATTACAGAACGACTTAAAAAAGCACTAGAAAATGAAGGTTTGGATCCGGAAACGTTTTTATTTTCGGATGATGCATCTGCTATAATTTCTTCAATTTCTTCCGTTATGGAAAGTAAAATGTCTTCTATGAAAACCGATATTTCTTCAGAAGTTTCTTTTATAAAAAGTGATATTACTTCCTTAGAAAGTAAAGTTTCGTCCGATATTTCTTCTTTAGAATAAAAAGTGTCTTCTGATGTTTCTTCCGTGAAAAACGAAATCTCTTCTTTAGAAACTAAAGTTTCTTCTGATATCTCTTCTTTAAAAGACGAAATTTCTGCCGACTTGGAAAACAAAATATCTTCTCTGAAATGTGAAATTTCTGCTGATGTGGAAAATAAGATGACGTCTGTTGAGAAAATAATGTCTTCCATTGAAGAGAAAATAAAGGAGATGGAAAAAAAGATAGAAGAACTCGAACATACAGAACCGGCCAAGGACGGTGAAATAAAGTGCCATGAGTCGAAGGTGAAATTGGAAGGAGCTGTAAACTCTCCTCGTGTTAAGGCCCCAACTTTCGACGGAAAGATGTCATGGACGAACTACCTTAAGCAGTTCGAAACAGCTTCCAGAGCAAACGAGTGGTCTGAACGAGAAAAGGCAGTGAATCTGACAATCGCCCTTCGAGGAGACGCTTTAGATGTCCTTCAGACTATACCCTTGGAAGAAACAGATGATTTTGAACAACTCAAAAAGAGACTAAATATGCGATATGGCCACGAACACTTGGAGCATTTGTACCAGTCAAAGTTGAAGAATCGTAAACAGAAACGAGACGAGACTCTTCAGGAATATGAAGTAAATATTGCCAGGTTGGTGCGATTTGCTTATCCATTAGCTCCAGAAAACATGATGGAATGTTTGGCTATTCAAGCATTTGTGACTTCGTGACCATGAAATGCAAATAACACTTCGTTTAGCCCGTCACAAAACATTGGTCGATGTCTTGTCCGCTGCTCTTGAATATGAAGCGGCTACGCTGGCTTCTGGTGGATACAGTGAAGTAAGGACTATAAAAGAAGAAGAACAGCGAAATAAATTGGACCAATTGTTTCACATGATAAAAAGCCTTATTGAGAAGCAACCGAAGACTATTAGGTGCTGGAATTGCGATGAAATGGGAAAAGTAAGCAGTTCGCGCAAACGTCCAAAGAACACTACGAATCGAAAAACCGTGCCGGTGGCTGTACAGGAAGAAACCGTGTTACCTGAAAGTAGTGAAACCATACGAGTAAGGCGGTTTCAAGGAACTGTAGAGAAGGCAACGCCTGTTATGGCGGAACCTTCGAAGCGCAATAAAGGTGTTGGTCAAGGAACTCTGATTGGAAAGGGGTTGGCCACATCTGTTAAAGAAGTCACAGTACGAAGAACGTCGGTTGTCAGCGATGAGTGGGCCCCTGTCAAACTTAGGGAAGAACAAGAGAATGATCCCGTCTTAAAGAAGATACGAGAATGGAAAGAGGAAAATCGTCGACCTACTTGGCAAGAAGTATCGAAATTCTCTCCAGTAGTTAAATCATATTGGGCTCAGTGCAACTCCTTTATCCTGGAAGATGGCTTATTAAAGCGAGTACTGGAAAATGATGACGGTTCCGAAAACAGAAGACAGTTGGTCATTCCAAGAAGTAGAGTAGCTGAAGTACTCCGTCAGTTACACGACAGTCCATCAGGAGGACATCTCGGTGTTAGGAAAACCCTTCAGAGAGTTCGGGAAAGGTTTTACTGGATGAACAGTTCCGATGATGTAAAGGACTGGTGTAAGAAATGTACCACCTGTGCTATGAGTAATGGACCTCAACGAAAAAGGAAGGCTCCCATGAAGCAATATAACGTTGGTAGCCCATTTGAGAGGATTGCCTTAGATATTGCTGGACCATTCCCCGCGACCGAGGATGGTAATAAATACATTTTGGTGGTTATGGATTATTTTACAAAGTGGGTGGAAGTCTATGCCATTCCAAATCAAGAGGCCACAACTGTTGTAGATGTATTTATAAAAGAGTTTATCTGTCGATTTGGAGTGCCCTTGAAGATCCACAGTGACCAAGGCAGAAATTTTGAAAGTCAACTTTTCCGTGGAATCTGTGACAGACTAGGCATGAAGAAGACCAGAACCACAGCATTGCACCCACAATCCGATGGAATGGTAGAGCGAATGAATAAGACCATTGGCAAATATCTGTCAAAAGTGGTTTCAAACCATCAGCGAGATTGGGATCAGTATCTTTCGCTCTTTGCAATGGCTTATAAATCCGCTGTCAATGAATCAACAGGCCAAACACCAGCAAAGGTCTTGTTTGGGCGTGAGATGAGACTTCCGTGCGACCTCGAGTTTGGGTGCCGACCTGGAGTTTGGGTGCCGACCTGGAGAAGATGTAGCTGGTGAAGATTATGTGATCCAGTTACGAAGAAGAATGGACGACATGCATGAATTAGTTCGCTCCCATCTTCAAATCGCCAGCGACAGAATGAAGAAGCGATACGATACCCAAGCAACAGAAGGATGTTTCAAAGAAGGCGACAAAGTCTGGCTCCATAACCCAAAACGACAAAAGGGTTATTCTCCGAAGCTTCAAAGGTCTTGGGAAGGTCCGTACCTCATAAGGAATAAAATAAATGATGTAATTTACCGTATAAGTAAGATCCCAAACGGTAAACCAAAGGTAGTGCATCAAAATAGGTTGGCGCCATTTGAGGGTGACCATGAAGAAGAAGTAAATCAACTTCGAGAAACACCAGACCTTGTCTTTGAAGAATTTATGGGTGCATATGGAGGTACTGGAAAAGCCAGATATGGTGTTACGACCGAGCAACAACAAGATCTGCTCTCGCTTCCAAAAGACTACTCGCTGGTTCATAGTACTTCCGCCAGCATCAACGACGCACGAGGACTGGCATATGTGTTCCGTAAGAAGTTTGGTCGACTGGTAGAACTTCAATGTCAGTTACCAGCCCCTGGAAAAGCCTTGAAACTTCAAGACGG